CCCTCCCTCCTCCTGCCTCCCTATCCCCTTCTCTCACCCCGATAGTCTCCACCTTTCCGGCTCTGTCCTCTTTCCTCCACTGGACCCTCAGTTCTGCCCCCCACACCCGGGCGGGAGGAAAGCCTTACAGGTTGTCAATGAAACATGGAATTATTTCCTTTGATGGCTTAGATAATAGTAGGAGCCAGAGCCGTGAGTGAGGTCGGCCGAGACCAATGCAGTCCTGCCCGGGCCGGAAGAGCCAATCGCTGGAGCAGGGGGCGGGGCGTCGGCGCCAGCAGATAATTGCTAAGTGCCTCACCAGCACACTTGGCCGAGCTGCTGAGAGGTCTGGTCGCCGCGGCAGAAACGCAGAATCCTCGGCGTGCTCCATCCCGGCCGCGGAGTCCGGAGGCAGCCTCCCTGCGTCCCGGAGAAGGTACCTTGATCTGCATCCCGGGAGAGGGGGCGCCCCGGCTGCGCGCACGCACAGGCTCGCAGTTAGCACAGGTGGAGGGGGTGCAGAGAGAAAAGTTTAGGGGGGGACGTGACAAAGGTGGGAGCCCACTGCCTCTTCTTGCGAGGAAAACAAGGCTAGAATTTGGAAAACTTCTGCGCCGTCAAGTCGTCAAGAGCTGGGTTTGTTTACTATTCTTAATTAGCTGCGCTCAGGTCGTGGAGGTGGGTCTGGTCTTCTGCTGGGCGACCTGCAGGGTTGGGGGAGATCTAGGTTCGCTGGGTGACTGAGGCTGGACCCCAGGAGCAGCCACTTCCTGGCCCCAAATGCTACTGCGACCACCTCCGCCATCTGGTTCTCAGAAGTGAGATAGGTTTGCTTGGCTTTTCCAGCTTTGGGTCTGCCCTGTCTACCTTACCTTGACCCGCCTTGCCCAAACTACTGTGACCTTCAACTCCAGCTCCTGTTCAAACTTTTGTCCCCTTTTCCTGAGCTCCCTTTGATCAGTCTGCTTCCATTCATCTTATTTGGTGGAAAAAAGAAATTTCCTAGGTGGGGAAATCTGTCCTCTTTGACCCTGTAAGCATCTCTGTGCCACCCAACTTGGTGAGACACCAACCGTTGTCAGAGGAAAAGAAATCACTTCATTGATTAGCTCCTGAAAACTCTGGAAGAATTTCCTGGTTTGGTCTGTCCTGAAACAGTGGGGGTGGAGATGCGTTTTGACTCAGGGTGCCTTACACCCCTCCCAGAGCAGGGGCCAGTTCTCAGAGGCAAGGCCGGCAGGAGGGGTAAGCTGCTCAGGACTGATTTTGTCTAAGGGCACAGGTGCATCTGGGACAGGGAGATGGTACTGAAGTCACTCTCCAAACTCTTCTAATAAGTGCTCCCCGAGTAGAGAAGCTCACCATGGCCCGCAGTTGGTTCAGGTCAGCAGCATCTTGAACGGTCCATTCTGTTGGGCCATAGGGCTCACTTGCACTGAGACCCACTTTTGGTCTTGGAGAATAATTCCTTTCTGCCAGCTTCTGCCACAGGGAAGTGTCAGGTAAGTGGCCCTTAAGGAAGTGGTGTTCCCAGTGGGGGGAGAAGGTGATGCACTTAGCCTTGAGCTGCCTGCCTTCTGGCTGGCAGCTCCTGATTTGTGCCCCACAGCCCTTTACCAGGTATGCCTCCGGTTATACCTGCTAGATACTCTGAAGCTGCTCATCCCAGGTGACAGTCTGGTTGGGACTTTGGGGTTAGGGGATCCAGGTGCATTTCCTCCCTCTGATTTCTGTTCCAGACTGAAGGCTAGGAGTACTGGGGAGAGCCAGCACTGGGGGAGGGCACCACTTTCCCTGTGACACTTCTCCTCCCACCTCAGAGGTACAAGTGACTGGCCTGGATTCTCTTGCTCCGCAAATCATTTTCCATTTTCAGTTCTTATTTTCTTTTACTACCACACACAACAGGTCCTCTACTTCCTTCGGGCAGCTATTTTAGGTGGGTACTATTATTGTTGAAGCTTTGTTCCCGGTGGCTGTAGAAGTAGCTGCCTGGCTTCGGTGGTTACTGTCGGTCTGGATACCCTTAGTCCTGTCTGGTGGACACGCTGGTTGAAGCAGGTAGAACAAACCCACAGCCCTGTCCAGCGCGGCTTCTTGTGTCGAGGAGCCTGGGTAGGAGCTGAACTTTCCTAGGCTGTTGGGGGCCAGTTTGAAGGACCTGTTTCTCTGCGGTCTAGAGCATGTGACCCCAGAGAGATCGTGGGAGGCAGCACCTAGGACCTGGGGCTGGGAATCTAGAGTGCAGACCCGTTGGTTTTCATGAAGATAGTAGGAATTAGGTAAGCTTTGGAATTTAGAAGGTGTCACAGGCCAGAAACCAGGAGCTGGACTGGGGGCTTCTTTCATTTGATATGGATCTGCTACCTGGATGTCTATCATGACTGAAAACATCAAAGCAAGGCTTTTAAAACAGCTCCTGATGGTGACTCATGCTCAGAGGAAAGGCTGGTAGGGGAGGGAGCACAGGGAGCTTTGGAGAGTACAAGTGGGACACACTAGAGCACTTGCTCTCTCTCTCTCTCCTCCTCCTCATTCCTCTTCCTTCCATTTCCTCATTTGGAACAGAGATCATTAAAATAATAACTTAAGCTTAAAAAAAAGTGTAAGAGCCAAAGGCTAATTAACAAAACTCAAACAACCCTTACGGCAACTTCACCTTGGACTGGGAGGGCCACAAAATCCAGGGCCCAGCACCTCTGCTGTGATGCAGTTCGGAGAATTTTATCACTGCTGTGAAGCTGGCTAATTCCTTGTGAAGCTAGGGGCTTGTGTGTAAAAGGACAGATTGATGCTCAGGAAATTAAATTTGCTGGTTGTCATTTCATCGAACATGATAGTTTTAGCCAGACCCTGGATGAGCGTCATGCAGATATCTAGTGCTTTCCTCTTTCCCCAGCTGGCCAGTCAGCATTTTTATCACTGGTGTGGAAGGGTTGCATCCTTCTGCCCTTCCAAGGCCAGTGTGATTTCACGTGGCAGATAACAAACTCCTCTGCTTCTCTGGCCCTCTGTGCCCACCACCCTTCCTGTCCTTCCTTTTCATGATTAACACGTCAATAAGTAGTCTCTTTGCCAATGTGCTTTGATCTCATCATTGTGTGCAGATTTGCTGTTAAAGAAAATGATCCCCTGAAACTGGACTGAAAACCTTAAAATTTGTACTAGAGAAGAGACTTTTTGTCTTCCATTGTAAAATTTAATTTTTGGTTGTGAGGAAATCAAATAAGCACGTTTATTGGGTTAGGCTTTTGGGTAAATGCCATCCTGAAGTCTTTTTTTTCTTGGTGGACATATGAATTCCCTGGCTCCTCAGGAAGGGTGTGTCTGTGGGTTTGAACCAGTCTGAAACACTCCTGAAAGCTGATAAGTTTGAGGCACAGCGTGCTCCTGTTTTTCAAAATGGAGAAAGCCTTTTTGAAACCCAAGCTCTGAAATACGTCACTGTCTACTATCCTCCTCGGTCTTAGTTTAGGAAAATTTCAAAGTCAAAATTATGAGTAAGCAGTGATCAGACTCTTCCTTACACTCACATCTCCTTCTTTTGTGCCCCCTGGGAAGTTAGTCCACTGGAAGCAGGTACCTTACTCAATTTGACAAGTAGGTATATTTCTCTTTCCTTCCTCCTTTCTACTTATTCCTATAATTTCAGGACTCTAGGTGAGATTTACTCACAGACACCCTATTTACTTCATTTCAGAAAGAGTTAACAGAAGACCTCAGGAACGCTGGGGTATCCACAGGAGCCTTCCCTGTGGGAGCGATGAGGTAATCCTATCACCAAGTTCAGTTCCACTGCAGAGCTCCCAGAATTGCCTGGGTGGTGTGCTCCTGACCTGCATGAAGCATACAGGACAGATGTGCCAGGGCATAGGGGATTCCTACCCGGTGTAGGCCCCTGTTGCTCCACTCTCTTGAGGCTCAGCCCCTCCACACCCTCTCCACTGCTCAACCTGGGATTGACCTTGCAAACACCAGCAGTGTGGTTTGTCTGCCATTCTCCCTGTTCCTTTGTTCTCTTTGTACTCTTAAATCTATCAATGATGGAAAAGATCAAATCTACTCACTAGTACTAAGGTATGAACAGTTAACAGTGTTGCCACTTACAGAGGTATTTGAAGTCTACCACTGAGCTGTACCCGCAGGGTATTTGAATTCTTAATGGAAGCCATAGATGCATATAGTGGAATTTCAGGCATATGCCAGACAGAGCTGAGAAACTGTGGTCCTTAGATTTCAGTTAAGGCTGGCTGTGATTATCATGGCATTGAAAAAGGAAACAAAAGACGATGGGTCTGGAATTTGAGACCTCTTGAGCCCTGGGATTTAATCTTGTGCCTCGCACTTACTCGCCCTTCAGACTTTTGGTGCCCTCTCCTGTAAGACTTGGGATGTGTTCTCCCATGACGCTTCCTGCTGTGACCTTCCCTTTTGATATTGCCAGGAAGTCTACCTCCTGCTGTGGAGGCCACAGCCCAGCAGCAGCTTCTGATGCTGTCCGGTGACTGGCCATGCTTTCCGAGCTAGAATCCATGAGGGTAGGTCAGGAGGAATGGTGGATGATGTGCCAGGAGAAAAACAGGCTGAAGGGTGATGTCATAACTGATTCTGGTTTAGGAGGGGATGTTATATGGAGGATGGTGACCAGCTGTTCTCCATCTCCAGTAAGAATTGAATGAGAGAAAATAGACAGAAATTGCAGCAGATGGACTTAGATTAGGTATGAGGAAGAATTTTCCATCAGCCAGAGTTTTTTTTAAAAGGGAAGGTTGTGAGCCTCCAAGATAATCTTCAAGAAATGGGTAAACTGGAGGTTTTAGCTGGAGGAGGAGCCAAATGGCTGTGTGTTAGTGAAAGGCAGTGCTCCCCAAGTGTCAGAATCCGTGTTCTCTCCCAAACCTCACCCTTCTCTGCAGCTGTTGAAGTGGCTGAGATCCATGAGAAAGGAGTACAGCAGACCTGTGCCAACCCTCAGGGTGGAGCAGCCTCATTGTGCCCCGAACTAGCGACTCTCTTGATGGGAGGGAAGATTCTCCCCATTGGGGACCTCTCATCGACGCTAATCTTTAGTTCCAGACCTGGCAAATGAGTGTGGAGAGGTTAGAGGGCTTGGAAGCACCCTGTGAGGATGGAATGGCAGAGCTGAGGCCGGAATCCAGGTCCTCCAGCTCCAGAGCCGGGGTTATTTTCTTTGTGGCTCATTTCATTCATTTCATTTCCAGTTTGAATTTGCATTGCTGGGCTCTTAACATCTCTTTAACTGAATGGCAAAAATAGACACCCTCAGCTGAGCAGTGTCCATTGACACCAGTTGCTGACACTCTGCCTGCTCCATAGCACCTGTTACCCACAGTGTTCACGGCTGCGTGCTCCCAGGTTTACACAGTACTCTTCTGTCTCCTGTAAGGTGTGGGGAAGAGGCTGCTTTGCCGTCTC